AGATTGGCCTCAACACAGACTGAAACCTTTCTGAGCCTTCAGAACAGTAAATGGTAAGGCGGCTCTCTCTTCCCCAGGGAAATGAAGTCAGCACTCAACTCAGAACCAGTCTGCGCCCGGGATGAATTCAGGAGTGACCCAAATAAATGTGCTAAAGCAGAGAAAACGTGTTTGTACAGAATGCACTTCTAGGGGGAAAACTGTATCTTGCTTTCTTTTTTTTCCCCTTCCCCAAGACAGTTGTGAGGTCAGTATTCTTTGCACCATTCCCTAGGGCTGCTCTGTCAGAGTGGACTTTCCACCACTGACCTCGCTGCCCTGGGTCCCCGCACTCACTTCTCCAGAGCCCCTTCTAGGACCACTGGGTATGACCCAGGCAGGATGCAAACCAGCAAATGACAGTCACGTTTGGAGGAGAGGATTTCATAGAGCAGGTGCTCTAATTATCTGAACTCATTCGGAAAAGAACACCCCCCACCCCGCCCCAGCCACGTATTTTAATCAAAAGAATCACTGAAATGTGGTTCCTGGTGTGTGGTGAGGAGGTGTGGGCTTAGAGATATTTGTCCAGGAGCAGGACTGGCCGGTGCTTGTCTGCGCACAGGCACTTGCCCCCTTGTGAGGTGACTGGCAGCTTGACAGTTTCATCTGGGCCTTTGTCAGCTGAGCTGAGCTGGCAGGTGGATCCCAGCCTTGTGCCAGGACACGCACATCTGTGGGTTTTCTCTTGTGGCTCTTAAACTCCACTGAGGCTGTCCCACTCTGCAGCCTCGAGGTTTCATTCATTAATCCATTCAAAGAGAATATACTAAGCACCGACTGTGTGGGCCGGGTGGGAGGGGCACATCAGTAGGTAAAGCAAAGGGAAATCCCTGGCTTTGGGAAGCTGACATCTCCGTGGGCCACGAAGTAAGTAACTGCTCGGTATGAGATGACGGGAGGTGCTAAGGAGAAGAACAGAACAGAGGACAGAAGGATGTTAAAGGGTGTGATTTTCATAGGGTGGTCAGGGAAAGTTTCAGCGAGGAGGTGACATGGGCGTGAAACCAGACAGAAGGGAGAGAGTCAGCCATGCTTAGTCCGGGGTAGGGGGCAGAGGGTGAAGGACACTAGCAAGTGCAAAGGCCCTGAGAAGGGGCCAGACCTGGGATGTTGGGAAACCACAGGGAGGCGAGCATGGCTGAAACAGTGAAGGGGAGTGATGGATAGGTCAGAGGGGTGACAAGAGACAGGTCACGTAGGGCCGTTATGTGTCGCGGTGGGGACTTCGGTTCTTACTTTGAATGGGAGAGGGGATGCTGTTGGTGGAGCTCTGAGCAGAAGAGTACCATGACGTGTGGATGGGTCTCATTCTGATTGCATGTCGAGAATAGGCTGATGGGAACAAGGTCAGAAGCCTAGCTAGGAGGGTTTTGCCCTTAACCAGGGGAGACATGATGCAAAGACCTGAATCTGGGTGATAACAAGAGGTGGTGGCGAGAGCAGTCAGATTCTGAATATATTTTGAAGGTAGAACCAAAAGGGTCTGCTGACTGTCAGATGTAGTGTGTGGGGGAAAAAAAGAAGGGGCAGGGATGACTTACAGGGTTTTTAGCACCAAACCGCTGGAAGGACGGAATTCCAGCCACCGCATGGGGAAGTTTGAAAGAGACACGGAATTAGGACGGTACCAGGGGCTAGTTAGATTTGAGATGCTCGTTAACATGTCCGTGTGGAGATGTCAGTAGGCAGTTGGATTTACAAGTCTGCAGGTATAAATTTGGAAGTCATCACTGTATAGAACCTATGTATTGTTGGTTTTTTAAAGCTGTGAAGCTAGATGAAATCACCTAGGAAACTGGTGTAGACAGAAGGAAGGTAAATGCTGAGATGGCACCCTGGGGCCACGCAACTAATTAGAATTTGAGGAGAGGAGGACCCAGCAAAGGAATCTTTGAAGAAATAGCTAGAGAGGCCAACCTGGCAAGTATGTCCTAGAAGCCAAGTGAAGAAAGTTTCAAAAAGAGGGATCCGCAGTCAGATCAACACATAGAATGAGGCCCAAGAATTAACTGTTAGACCTAGCAGCGTGAGGCCACTGGTCGCATGAGCCGTTTATGTGGCGAAAGCTGGAGCAGTTCTAGGAGTGGCAGGAGAAGAATTCGGGACAGCAATTATGGGTAACTGGAAAGGGATTTTGCTTGCAAAGGAGAGAAATAATGGAACTTAGCTGATGTAGGGAATTTTAGCTTCTTAATGAAATTTTGGGCCCCCATAAGGGTCCTGGACTGAGGCTGGGATCAAAGTTGAGCACAGGGAAGACACTATGGCTCCTGAGGTGTCTGGGTGGTGACAAGATCTTTTCCACCTTCCTCCTCTGGCCTGAGGCATTAGCAAGCGGCCACTTACAGCTGTCCTCCTGAACTGGAAGTCAGTGAAGTTCCTTTTACCCTTACTGAGCTCTTCTGTGTGGTTATTATGCTGGAGACTTGCTTCTCAGCACTTTCGAGTCTTTAACTACCAGCACTGCTCCCTCCAGGAGGCCAGTTCTCTTAGCTCATTTAGAAACGCCTTTGGAGCTCCAACTTTGTTCTCTTAAACCAGCCTCAGCTTGCTTTTCCCTTACCGGCTCTGAATTCTTCCAGGCCAGGCAACTGGGAGAGACTGGGCTTAGAAACTCTTCTGTTGGCTTCCGGCCCAGCTGAGCTGACCAAAATAGCCAGCAGAAGGGCTGTTTGTGCAGAGTGAAATTCCTCCAGGGGAAATACCATAGTGCATGGCCAAGAAAGCCATGGTAGGAACCCATGAGGCAAAGGAAAAAAAAAAAAAAGGGCCGTACTCCTGAGGTCTGGCTATGGCGTTTGACCGGAGTTCTCTCCAGAGGGAAAAGAGCTTCCTAAAGCCTATTGTGGTATTTCTTAGGACCCCTTCTCTCATTCCCTGCGTCTCAGGAGTAGTGCTCCCAAGTGAGAGGCCATTGGAATGGCCCCCAGTGTGATGGCCAGGGCTTCAGCATCCTGTCTGAGGCCTCTTCCTGTTACTGGTTCTCCCAGCCGGCCCAGGGGAAGATCTGTAGGACAGATACCACTCCCTGCTCTGTGACTGGGGTGAGTGCTGTGAAGGGGGCTGTGAGGCCTATACACTGGCATAGAACAGGGGTACCTGACCCAGACTTGGGGGCTGGGAGGGAAGAGGTCAGGAAGGGTTTTACCTGAGTTATAAAGCAAGCTCTAAGGACCACAGATGGCCAGATAAATGAGAGAGGGCATGTTACAGTTCCAGAGATAGAAAACACTGATGAGCCTGTGGGGAGAGTTGGAAGAGCACAAGATAAAGGAGAGGTAGAGGGGGGAAGGGCAGATTGTTTTGACTTTACAAGCTTATCATAAGATCTTCTGGAAGCTATTGAAGGGTATAATCAGGGGAGTGGCTGGATGGGATTTGCATTTTAAAGATTTCTTCTGACACTGCTAGTGGAGGCTGGATTACAGTGGGCAAGGCCTGAGCCTGGGAACCCATATTGAAGGCCTTGGGCCATATTCCAGGCCAAGCAGAAGGTGGTTAGTCCCAGGGTAATGGTGAAGGGGATGGAGAGCTGTGAGTGGATTGGAAAGAGGTTTATATTTAGGAGGTAGAGTCATGAGGACTTGATGAGTCACTGGCGATGAGGATGACGTTCAGGTTTCCTTGTGATTAGAAATACCAGAGAGAGGCTGGTTGAACCACAGGCTCATCCCGCCTGCCGGCGCTGAACGGCCGTTGGGTCGCGTGCTGGGCACCCCTGCAGCAGGGCTGGAAAACTGGCCGGGCCCACCCTGGGCACCCTCCTGTGCACATCATAGACTTTAAACCCATGATTATTTAAAGGGTGGGGAGGGTTATCAGAGGGCTTAACCTCCCCTGAGGGGTCTGAGTAAATGACAAAGTGCATCCTAGTGGGCTCTCCAAAAATTTCGCGGGAAACAAACCAGCCTGAGACCCGAAGGGTGGGTAGGTATTAGTTAGAGAAAGGAAAGGACAGCAGCAGAAATGCCAACTGCAAGGATCTGGAAGAGGCCTGTGGAGGCTGGGGATGAGAAAGCAGGGGAGAGAATGGGCAAAGGTGGCGGCCCAGTGGGGGCAGTCCTGTGGCATCCAAGCAGAAAGCCCCCAGAGGGCTGGATGTCCCCGACTGCCACTCGGGAGGTGGGGGTCACACACAGACCCGGGAGTCGTCAGTCTGGACAGTACCTGAAGCCTTGTGAGTGGGCATGGTCACTCGTGGAACGGGTATTGGGTGAGAAGGAGGGGTGTTGAGGAACAGCAGTATTGAAGGATGGCAGAAGGAAGATGAGCCCACAAGGGGAAGAGGAGGCTGGAGAGGTAGGAGAAGACCGTGGGAATTTTGAGGAGGAAATAGTCAAAGGGTCAAGAACTGGTAAAGAGGGTCTGTTGGGTCTTGGTGACCTGGGCAGGAGCCAGGTCGGCAGGAGCCACTGCTCTGGGAAATGAGCAAGTGAGGAAGGAGGGCGTTCGTAAAGTGCTGGCAGCTTTTCCACCAAGTTGGCCAGGGAGGGAGGGGAAGAACTGGCTGTAGCTGGAGGGGATGGTGGTGGAGATGGATGATCTGTCCACAAAAAGCCACAGGCTTGGGGCGGCGGAGAGGATGCCTTTTCTGCCGGTATTGGAACTAAACTGGCTTCCAGTATGGGGGAAGGAAAGGTGGGTGGTGCCATGAGACCCTAGACTCCACCTCCAAACCCCCAGTCTGGAAGCCTTGCTTGATGCCTCTGGAAGTTTCCTTGGAGCCAAAGAGAGCTACTATTACTTGTGTAATAAGTCACGGTAAATCTTCACCAGCCAAGGGACTGTTGGGAAAGTTTTAGCCACTCTGAATTAATGAAAAATCCAAATGACTGAGCTCTGAAAGGAGTGCAGCTTTTCTTTCAAGAACACTCAGTAAACCCCACTTACCGGGTTGCCAAATGTAGGTTTCAGTGACCGGATGTAAACTGTTAGAAGCAAATACAGTAACGGTTAAAATGGTAGAAGTGGCATAAAAACAATTGCGTGATGATGCCCCGGGGTCCCTTTGCAGTTTTCATACGCTAGTTAGCCTCGCTGTGAATAGTACGAAGACAGATTTAAGCACAACTTATGTCCAAATTACACGTTTAAATACAAAGTTCCAAATTAATGAGGTTCAAAGTGCCTTTGATCACAGTCTTGCAGTTACGTATCTGCGCTCCTTCTGAACCACTTTTCATTTTCAAACACCCAACTGGAAATGCTGCTTTTTTTCCCTTTCATGGTTAATCCCCGGATATAATTCTGCAATGACAGGGAGATCAGTCTCTGCTTTGGTCGCCCAAGCCGCAGCCCAGGGGCCACAAAGCTCAGAGGGACACTCGGAGAGATACTTACAAACATTGGTTTGAGAGCTAGAGGGTTATTTCAGGAGCCGGCTGGGGAGGAAAATGAAACCAAACAGAAAAGGTACAATGTCAGCCCCAGCAGTTCTGGCCGCTTGCTTCAGTAAATGCTGCTTTAACTTCCTAACTGAAGAATCGCTCTGATCCCAGCCCCATCTCCAAACTGATTTGAGTCCAGGGTAAGAACGCCTACAGGGGGAGAGAGGAAGATGGGAAAGGGAGTTGAGTAAGAACCATGAGGCCCGTTTTCATTTCATTGCACCCTGCTCTGTGCCCTTCTGTTTCCTTAGCGGGAGGTATCTGCAGGAGGGTCAGTCCCCCATTTTAGCTAAGGGAACCTAAGTCCAGGGGCGCCTCCTGGGAGAGCCCCTGGCTTCCCTTCCCAGACTTGGCCGCAACTAACTCAGCTTGTGCTTTTAACAGCAACATTGTCTGAGAATTAAAAAAAAAATCTTAAAGATCATCTAGTTCTGCTTCCCACCCCATCTAGACCTCCCCATCTCCAGCAGAAACACACATCCTGCCTCTGTCTAAAGGATACCAGAAAAGGGAGAACATGACCTCAAAAGGCAACTGATGACATTTTTTCAAAGTTCTCCCTTCTGTTAGTCTGCAGTCTGCCTTTTTTTTTTTTTTTTAAGATTTTATTTATTTATTTGACAGACAGAGATCACAAGTAGGCAAAGAGGCAGGCAGAGAGAGAGGAAGGGAAGCAGGCATCCCAGGACCCTGGGATCATGACCCAGGCCGAAGGCAGAGGCTTTAACCCACTGAGCCACCCAGGTGCCCCTGCAGTCTGCCTTTTTAAAGCAGACTCTGCATCCAACATGGGGCTCAGACTCACAGCCCCGAGATCAGAAGTCACATCCACTATCTGCTGGGCCAGCCAGGCACCTCAGAGTCTGCCTTCTTGATGTCTCCACCCTTCATGAAGTCTTTGAACCAGGGATGGGATGAATGCCCTGGTGGGTGTCACTAGTCCTGGCACACCATTGCTGCTGTCCTCTGAACAAGCTCCAATTGAAAATGCCCCTTTCAAAATATCCCTCAGAACGAAACCTGACACTCCAGATGTGACCCAAAGGTGCAGAACACACTAGGACGATTTTTTTATTCCTCCGTGATTGAACTTTCTGGGAATGCAATCCCAAAATTGCAGTAGAGTTTTGGCAGCCACATCCAGATTCTCTTGTCTCGCGTTTAGCTTTGAGTCAAACCCACTGGGGCTTTTTCACAGAACCACTATTAAGCTCTGTTGTTCCGTCCTATATGTATGCGAGTTTTTGTTTTTTTTTTACCCCAAGTGCAGGATGTACTCAACTTCAAAGTTTAAACCACTATTTAGTGATCACCCACTGTGTGCTCGCTGCCTCTGTAGTAATTATTGACACCTGCCAGGATCCCAGGAGGGTGCTGTTCCCTCTGTCCTGTAGATGGCACAGCCTGAGAGGGGTGCCCCAGCCACCCCACGGATGACGGCATGGCCCACCTCTCATTTAGGTCTAGAGCTTTGTGCTCCAAAGCACAGCACCTACTAGTTTTTAAAGATCTCTCAGAACCTTCATATGGACAGCCAGTGTTCTTACTATCATCCTTCTCTGTTTTGTGACATCTGCGAGTTGAACTTTGCTTGGTCTTCGCCTGGTTTTCCAAGCTTGGGTAGTGGATCAGCTACTCTAAAGCCACATTTTCCATTCTCTAGGGCACAGAACCAATTGAGTGAGTCACTACCAGCATTTAAAAAAACGAAGTAGAGTAGAAAAATACCGAAGCCCATCACACATAGTAAGAGCAGATTGTATTTCAGGAGACTCACCGCATGAGCCCAGGACAGGGAAGCGTGTGGGTGTGCACACACTGGGTCCTCACGTAAACTGTTTTTATAAGTGTGGTTCGTGGTCTAAATGGTTGGAACGCCTTGGCTCTAAAGGAAAACTATTTTTGAGTCAACTTAGATCGTTTCCATTATAATGCTGCAACTTTACTTAATTATGCACGCAAATCTGTTTATCAGCTCCTTGACCCAGCTGCTATAAAATTAAAGAACTACTGGATAAGCCAGGAAAAGTCCCAGCAACAGCCCCATTCTGGGCGGATGACATTTGAATGAATCCGGATCACTGTTGTCAGCATCAGCACAGCCGACTTGACACTCAGGCTGCTTGAGTTTCTCGCACGCCTACCCTGCAGTGTCCCACGCCAAGCGGCACACTCCTGCCACGCTTCTTGAGAGCCATCATCCCTCACTTTGCACAAATATAGCATGAGTTAAACATGCAGAATTAAGTTTTCTTAATTAGCCCATGCAATCAGTGGTGCCACTTGGCACCAGTACGGTTGTAAACACACACACACACACACACACACACACACACTCCGGCCCCAAAACACGCAAAGCTTGGTAAAGAGCAGTCACCCAGCAGATGATCGTTTTTAAAAGATGCCCATCACGGTGATAACACAAGAAGAAAACATTCTGGCAGAAAAAGCACGCGGCTCCAAGAAGCTGCAGACCCTCGCCCTGGGATGCCCTCCATAGTCTGAGACGCCCTGGCTGCCCTGGCAGCAGCAGGTCCCTCAGGATGCACCGATCTCAGCCCTTTTACGGGGAGGCACATCGGGCTTAGCCCCCAAATGAGACCATCCTGCCTGCAGTTTTGTCCCTTCACCTTCTTTTAAGAATATTATGAAGATTTCATTCAGATGCCTTGTTGAAATAAAGACCACAGTCTATACCTTCCCCTTGACATCCACGCGAAACCCCATATGCAAAACCCCATACGCAAAACCCCAAGACACAGCGTGACTCTGCTTTCGCAGCCCCGTACTTATTCCTTACGGTCACTGTTTCCTCCAGGATTTGTAGTGTGCTGTTTGCTCGTGCGTTCTCGGATTTGCCAAGGATCAGTGTCTGTCATATTTCAGGATCTTCCCTATACGATTTTGTCTAGAGCTGCCCTTCGGCTTCTCACACAGTTTATTTCTCTGAAATAATAACGTTGTTTTCTGTACTTCCTGAAAGCTACCTTCCGAAGGTTTCGGATGCAAGTGTCACTGCCTGATGATTGATGAGCTACAAGATGGCATAGATTCTGCCCCCAAATTCTCAGGATTTCCATTTTACTTCTATTTCTCTTATATCAGATTTAAGTTCAGAGTAGAGATTCCCTTCATTACTTCCTCAACATTCTTTATTTTTCTTTACTAAAAAAAAAAAAAAGGCAGAATAGAGTATATTGATGGTGGGAAAATGAGAAAATCCAGAAAAAACACGATAAAAAATTCTTTAAGTCAAGCAAAATTCTACCCCCCAAAAATAATGGGTTTTAGCAGTTCAGCATTTTCAAAGACTTTTCCTGCCGTGTTCACATCTAGAAATATGTACACATTTAACAAAAATAGAATTTACTCTATTTTCATTCTTGTCATTATATTCAGTTCTAGTCTTGGTGAAGCCTTTGGGGGCCGTACCTGTTATCCTACATAAATTCACTTAAAGTGGTTACCCATGTGCTGAAGATCGTTACCTGGGCCGCGGGGCTTTTGTGGTGAAGGCCAAGTGTATAGTACCTAAGACTTCCCCACGGAGCAGGCATGTCCTTGTCAGGGATCCTGGCTGAGAGACGCTTCTTTCCCGGCTGGCTTGGCTTCTGGCTAGAGCAGGAGTGAGCAAGAAGCTTGGGTTAGAACTAGAGGATTAACCGGAGTTGCTGCCCACCAAATAAGGATTCCGACCTAGCTAGAGAGAGTCAGCAGTACCCCGCAGAGACAGCTCCATTAGGTCACTGAAGCTGGTCTTGGCAAAGTCTGGGATGTTTGCGTTCTCCCAGGCTTCGTGATGGCTGGGGACGGGACCAGCTGCCCTCACAGCCCGGGTCGGACAGGTCATTGGAGGGCAGAGGTCATTCACTGAACAAGATGGGAGGTGTGAGGAAAGGTTAACCTCTCAGAGAAGCAGCAGCAGAGAGAGGCACAGAGGGGATCTGAGGCCAGTGGGCCTGGGTTCCGTGGGTGCATCGTGTGCATTAGTCCGTCTTTTCTTCCAACAGATCCACAGACCAGCATGGCTGCCACTGCCGCTGTCAGTCCCAGTGACTACCTGCAGCCCGCCGCCTCCACCACCCAGGTGAGCGGGCAGCCGGCGCTGAGGGCTGGGGGTGGCATCAGCCTGGAGGCACTCACTGAAGGTGACAGCAGACCACAGCTGGAAACTCTGTCCTGGCTTGCCGTAGACACCCTGAACCGGGAAGGCTCGGTTGTCTCCTGTTTCTGAACTGAGAAGCCAGGGCCACTTACCAGAGGTGGCACGGCTGAGTCAAGGGGCAAAGCCGGATTAAACTCAAGGTCCCTTCTACCAGACCCACTGACCATAAAAGGGAAATAGAGGCTGTGTCCCTACACTCCAAAGGCTCTGTCCTGGTCGCCTCGAAAGAGCAGCCTCCCCACTTTACCCAAGTATTTATTCTTCCCGTGACCTGTCCCGTCCTCTTTCCCTCTGTCCCCATTCAGTCCTTCCTCAGCTGAGGAATTGGGGGCCCCTTAACCCCTGTGATGGGCCAACGGACCTCTGCCTGAGAGCTGAGGATAAATCCATGACCCCCTGAAACACAAGGTTGGTGGGAAGTAAGGGTGTTCGTTCACCCTGTCACGGGGCCTTCTGGAGAGTTCCTCCTGAGAAAGACATTGCCTACCCTCTCTCCCTCAGAGAAAGAGGAGCCAGCAGGGAAGGGAATGATGGCGGCACCGTGCCTGCCACAGAGGCGGCGAAGAGCCTGCCGAGAGGCGAGGACCGCGAAGGGCAGAGGGGGTGGCTGGGCAGCAGGTTCATGGCTCACCTCTCCTCCGCTTGTTCTCCTGCAGGATTCCCAGCCATCTCCTCTAGCCCTGCTGGCCGCAACATGTAGCAAAATCGGCCCTCCGGCAGTGGAAGCTGCGGTGACGCCTCCTGCTCCCCCCCAGCCCACGCCACGGAAACTCGTCCCCATCAAACCTGCCCCTCTCCCTCTCAGTCCTGGCAAGAATAGCTTTGGAATCTTGTCCTCCAAAGGAAACATCCTCCAGATTCAGGGGTCACAACTGAGTGCGTCCTACCCCGGGGGGCAGCTGGTGTTCGCTATCCAGAACCCCACTGTGATCAACAAAGGGACCCGATCGAGTGCCAATATCCAGTACCAGGCGGTCCCGCAGATACAGGCGAGCAACTCCCAGACCATCCAGGTCCAGCCCGGTCTCACCAACCAGATCCAGATTATCCCCGGCACCAGCCAAGCCATCATCACCCCCTCACCATCCAGTCACAAGCCCGTCCCCATCAAGCCAGCCCCCGTCCAGAAGTCGAGTACGACCACTGCCCCTGTGCAGAGCGGGGCCAACGTGGTGAAGCTGACGGGCGGCGGCGGCAACGTGACGCTCACTCTCCCCGTCAACAGCCTCGTGAACACCAGCGACTCCGGGGCCACCACTCAGCTCCTCACGGAGAGCCCCCCCACCCCGCTGTCTAAGACTAACAAGAAAGCCAGGAAGAAGAGTCTCCCTGCCTCCCAGCCCCCCGTGGCCGTGGCCGAGCAGGTGGAGACGGTGCTGATCGAGACCACCGCGGACAACATCATCCAGGCGGGAAACAACCTGCTCATTGTTCAGAGCCCCGGGGGCGGCCAGCCAGCCGTGGTCCAGCAGGTGCAGGTGGTGCCCCCCAAGGCGGAGCAGCAGCAGGTGGTGCAGATCCCCCAGCAGGCCCTGCGGGTGGTGCAGGCGGCATCTGCTACCCTCCCCACCGTCCCCCAGAAGCCCTCCCAGAACTTTCAGATCCAGGCGGCTGAGCCCACGCCTACTCAGGTACCACGCGCACCCTCTGCGCCTGCCTCCCGCTCATACTCTGTTCCCCCTGGGCTTGCTCGGAACAGGTTGCGGATGCATCCGGGTTGACCTGAGTGCTGGGAGTCTGTGACGTCTGGGGTGGGTGGTGAGGGGCCATTTCCGCCGATATACAGGGTCTCTTCGGTTCAGACGGTTGGTTCTAGACAGCTCATCCTTAGAAATCAGATGAGACGTCCCTCTACACCTGTATTGCGGTCCGCTTTTTCTTTTTGGGGGGAAGTCTTTTTTGGGGGGTGGGTCGGGGCAGATACCTACATTTTAATAATAAAATCTGCTTTTTACGACAGAACGGTAGCAAGAATGAAACAAATCTCAGGCAGAACTGTAGAATTTGATTTAAAGCAAGAAAACAAAGGAGACAGATTCCGGTCCTTCATTGTTAATGGCAAGGAAAAAAATAGGAAGACACAGCCCAATTTGATGGCAGGAACACTTACGCTAGATTCATCTGGGATGTTAATAATTCAGTAAGAATATTCTTATTGGGGGCTTAGATGAAGGTGCTGGATTACTCTAGAACCTATTTGGCTCTGTGAGGCGGTTTTATTCTTTGTGTATGCCTAGTAAATGCCAGAGGTGATGCCCATGTTGCAGATGAAGAACCTGGAACTCGGGAAATATCCAAGAGCTTATGGGGCACGGATGACAAAAGCCAGGATTCAACTCAAATTTCTGACTTCAATCCCCACGCTCTTTTCCACTTTTTACGTTGACTTACTATTTCTCGCTACAGTTAAAGTTGAGGACAAGGTGGTGGTAGTGGTGGTGGTGGTTGTTAAGGATCTTTTAAAATATAAGGACATAGCTCCTGCCATTGAGGAATTTATAATCCAGTTGTTTGGAGAGAGAACTGAAGCATCACAGTGAGTGACAGTGGGGAGTTGTGTCCTCTTCTGGGTGGAAATGAGATTGAGCTGTGGACAAGGAAGTTACAGAGGAGGAAAATCTGAGGCCTGGCCTAGAATGCCTCCTCCCTCCTGGCATATTATGTATTGCCAAGTGATTTTCTTTAAATTGTTTAATTTGCTTACTAGAATTCCTGTGAGGTTCCATTACCAGGCCTACCTGACAGATGAGGAAGTCGGGTGATGGCGGCTTCCGTGCATATCCTTGGTGGTACCTCTCCTCCCTTCCCTGAGGTCCCGCATCTTGAGATTGATGGAGGCAGGGCTTAAACCCAGGTCTTCCTAAGGAAATAATCATACATACACAGAAAATTTTACCTATGACATTATTTTGTAAAGATGACACAGCTTTCTAATATCCTGAAGTGCTGTATATCACACAAGTGATACTACAGTTAATAACCTTACAGCTAACTAAATTCCTCAGAGTGGGGCAAAGCCTATGCACATGTTTTGGAAAGGCATTATATTCTGTATCTGAGATGGGCAGTCCACAGCCTGAGGTCAGACCTGGCCCACGCTTCTGCTTTTGTAAATAAAGCGAAACTGGAATGCAGACGTTGGAATGCCCATGTGCGCTGCATTCGCACCACAAGGCAGAGACCTCATCGTGACCCGCAGAGTTTAAAATATTTACTGCCTGCCCTTTTTAGAAAAAGTCTGCTGACCCCTGCTCTATATTATGAACAAAAAATGTTCTAGTGACAAAAACTTCAGATACACAGAAAATAGCAATGATATGCAAAAAAGGCATGACGAGATTGATCTGTTCATTAAGGGATAACAGGACGTTTGTTTCTTTGCTTTTTTAACTGCGAAACACAGTCCCAGACGACCCAGGAATTAAAAATAACCCTAATCAAAATCATAGCAGGTTTTTTTTTTTTTTTTAACAAATAACTTTGCGCCTGGATCATCTGAGTGTAAGTTACCACCATAATCCCTGTGACTTGCAAATGTTTTATAGAACGTGTCTCCTCATTACATGCAAGGACATTCTCCATGACAACAGTACAAGCATCAGACCTAGGAAGCCGGCAATGAAACATGCCAGTGTCTTTCGTTCCCCAGTCTTCACTTGATTGGCACAACCTTGACACTTTTGAAGGCCACAGGCCAGTTATTTGGAATATGTTCCTCAGTTTAGGTTATATGATGTTTCCTCATGACATGTGGGTTGTGGTTTTTTTGTTTTGTCTTGTTTTGTTTTTCGGAAATATCGCAGACAGGATACTGCGTTCTCACTGTACCTAAAGGGGTACGTGATTTCAGTTTGTCTCAGTACTGGTGACAAAGTGATGTTGGCCAGATTTCTGCACCTTCTTTTCTTTGTAATGAACTAGTGTTTTGTAGGGAGGTACTTTGACATGATGTGACTATCCCATTCCTCATCAGACTTTTTCCCACTTGTTTTTAGTATCTTCTCTTATGATAGAGATTTTCTTAAAGTTAATGTTTCGTTTTAGAAGAACTTTCTATTTACAGAAAGGGTGCAAAGGTAGTGCAGACTGTGTGTTTCCCCTCTCTCTTGGTTTCCCCATTGTTAATCATCGTACGTGACCAGGTACCTTCATTGTCGAAATGAAGACGCTGACATTGGCACATGACTATTAACCATAGCTGTTAATCTACTCCACGCTTGATGTAGATGTCACCAGCTTTTCCATTTATGTCCTCTTTCTGTTCCAGGACCTGGTCCACATATCACATGTCTCCCCAGTTACCTCTGATAGCTTTTGGTCCTTGTTTTCCATGATTTTGACAGTCGTGCGGTGTATTGGCCAAGTATCCTACAGACTCTCCCCCACTCCGGGGTCATGGGCTTTCAGAAAGTATGCTAGAGAGGTGAAATGGCCCTCCCACGTTATATGAGGGGCACGTGCTATCCACGATGTCCTGGTGACACCCTGTCCCTGATGTTAACCTTCAGTGCTGGTTAAGGCCATGTTTGCCAGGTTGATCTTCGTTGAGAGTTGTACTTTTCCTTTTCTCTGTTCTTTGGAAGGGCGTTGCTAAGTCCCATCTTCAGGGCTGGGGATTGAACTCTCCATCCTGAAAGACAAAGTACGTCATATTACTTGGAATTCTTCTATCATGAGAAGGTTTTTTCTTCCTTGCTCAGTTTACTTTTTCAGTCATTTATTTATGGCAGTAGGGGCTCATGTGTATTTATTTTATACCTTGCATTCTAATCCAGGACCATGTTATTTATTTTGTTGCTCACATTGTTCTGGCTTCAGCCATTTGGAGGGCTTCGAGGTTGGCCTCTGTATTCCCCAGCCTACTCCCACCTTTTTTTGTCATTGTTCGTTAAATCAGCTTTGAGATACTCACATGCTATGAAATTTACCCTTTTAAAGTGTACAACTCAGTGGGTTTTAGTATATTCACAGTGTTGTACACCCATCCCTGCTGTCTAATTTGAGAACATTTTCATCACCCTAGAAGAAACCCTGTACCTTTAGTCGTCCCTCCTCATTTCCCCTCCCCACCCCCCAGCTCCCCTGGCACCCACGGATCCATTTTTTGGTCTCTGTGCATATGCCTATTCTGGACATTTCTTTTAAACGGAATCTGACAGTAGGTGATCTTTTGCAACTGACTTCTTTCACTTAGTAATAGTGTTTTCAAGGTTCATCCCTGTTGTGGCAGGCGTCAGTGCTTCGCTCCTTGTATCTCTTAGCCCCAGCCCTGGGATCGACTGTTCTTCTTGGAGAGTGGGATGACAGTCGTTTAAGTCTGTCTTTCTCTTCTCCATTTGTTTATTTAGGTTAACAGGGAGTGTTAGGTTTCCATTTTATTCGGTGGGTTGTAATCCGTTAGTATTACGATTTTGATGTTCCGGTTATCCCCATTTGACCCACTAGTGGGCGCCCCCTCAAGCTGGCTCTTGTGTCCTTTTCCCGTGTTACCCCGGTTCCTTGAGGACCTTCTTACTTGTTGGTACCACAGGTGTTCCAGGCTTTTCTTGTACTCTCTCTGCCCCCAAACCTGGCATGAGCTCTTTTCTCTAAGGAGCCTTGGTTCCTTTTAGTGGAGCATGATATTTAGAAGCAAAGACCCGAGGGCTGGGCGAGCTCATTGCCCCTGGGGTGTTGCTGCTCCCAGCCCTTCTCAGCGGACACAGCCAAGAACTAATACACATACCCATGCACATATATGTACACACATAAGGCCTGGGTGGGTGGATACAGGTGTGGACACATACACGTACACCTACATATACACACATATTTATATCTCTCTCTTCATATTGAAACCCACAAGTTTCCACAATATCTCTAATACCTGTCTAGTGCCACACACTTCATTCTCGTTTCTCCCTTTCCATATTTGTATACTTCTTCTCTGACGGTAAGAAACCTTGCTTCCTTTGGCCTCCATATATTCCTTTCTGGATCTCAGCTCTCCCACATGGACATGTCCTCGGCCCACTCGTGCCCAGCCGCTGTCATCACTGCCGCACAAAAGCCCTCTTCGTCCCATTCAGGCTCTAACATGCATACCTTGACGCCTTTTGAGACACATTCCCAAATTTCTCTCCAGCGAGCCCAGACCACCTCACACTCCTGCTCCTGATGGAAGAGTGAGTGCCTGTTTCCCTGCTGTCTCGCCAACAGTGAACATTATATTTTCTTTTTCCATCTCTGCCAATCTGAGGTGGAGGACAACTGTTTCTCATTGATCGTACCTCCTAAGAGCTGTTTTCCTTTGGTGGTCATTCACGGTGCATCTTTTGTGACATTACCATTTCACTGCCTTCTAATTCTCTAATTCTGAGGGCTGGCATTGTATCTTTCCATGCTAAGTAAATTCAATGTTTGGTTTCCAGTCAACAATGAGGTAGCATTTGCTACCTCAGTACGGGGATGCCATCAGCAGCGTGAATGTAGGTCTGGGCCAGTCAGAAGAGACTTGGGTGGACCGAGAGGCTCCCCCACTTCTCTCTTGGGTGGTGCTTGGGGGGGTGGTGACACTGCATTCAAAGGTACCGGAGGAGTGGGAGGCCCAGTCTGTCCTGCGGCGCTGACCCTTTTGCTCCCGCTCTTCCAGGTCTACATCCGTACGCCTTCCGGTGAGGTGCAGACAGTCCTTGTCCAGGACAGCACCCCGACAACAGCTGCAGCCACCTCTGCCACCACCTGTAGCAGCCCGGCTTCCCGTGCTCCCCATCTGAGCGGGACCAGCAAAAAGCACTCGGCCGCAATTCTCCGGAAAGAGCGCCCCCTGCCAAAGATCGCCCCTGCTGGGAGCATCATCAGCCTGAACGCAGCACAGCTGGCAGCAGCGGCCCAGGCCATGCAGACCATCAACATCAACGGGGTCCAGGTCCAGGGCGTGCCTGTCACCATCACCAACACCGGCGGTGAGGGGGGGCCCCTGAGTCAGGGTGTGGGCAGCTGGCTCGTGTGCCCCACCCATGAGAACTTTGGGCCATCCTGGGGTTCCCAGTCACCATAGCGAGGACACTGCCCATCATTTGCCTGGCCCCTTCTAGTTTAAGAATATGTCTGCTTGGTCCTTAAAACTGTAAGGACCCCAGTGAGATTGTTTAAGACACACGTTGGCCCCACCTGACAGCTGAAGGTCTTGAGTATAATGGAGAAGTAAGATGTACTCAGGAAAGCTCTCCAGCTAACCTGCCCATGCAGATTGGTTTGGTACAGACCCGAGAGAGGTGGTCAAGGGGGGGTTCCAGGTAAAGGAACTTGAAAGAAAGCTTTTAGAAGGAGACAGCCTTGAGTTAAGGTGCGAAGGAGAGGATGGAGTCTTTGGCAGTGGGAATGGCTTGTCCTGCACTTCGGTTCGGTAGTAACACTTGATAGTATTTACAGTGCGAAAGCACCTTGCATATAAGCAAGGGAACATTGTAGCTACGGAGCAAAAATGGTTCCTTGCGCTTTAGCTGGGTGTTCTTTAACTGGGCAAAGAGCACTTTTCAAGGTAGGGGGAGCTCTCCGCATCTCCTCTCTCCATCCTTACAAATGCATTTACTTACACATCGTGTAAGTGTGTGCACTTATACGTTGTGCGTCTGGGTTAGGGGCATGGGACGCCTCCACTCGGAGAGACACCAGTGTTAGGTCAGTCACATTCCCCCTGCTTGGAAATGGCCTTATGCAAGTGGAGAGGACTTGATTTTGTCCTGGTTTCTCACTCTTAGTACCAAAAATCCTTGGAGACCTTCCTGGGAGCAGAGTTGGTGTCTGAAGAGGGCCTGAGCTTGGAGGAGTTTCCAAAGAAACACTCCAAGCCAAGCCAAGACGGGAGCTTTCCGCACT